GTGCCTTTGAACGGGGTATTACATTTTTACATTTGAGTCATTTAGCAGATGCTCTTATCCAGAGCGACTTACAGTTAGTGAGTGCATACATTTTCATACTGGTAGTAGGTGCCAGGCGCACCGGTTTGAGTGTGTCAAGAACTGCAACGCTGCTGGGTTTATCACGCTCAACAGTTTCCTGTGTGTATCAAGAGTGGTCCACCACCCAAAGGACATCCAGCCAACTTGACACAACTGTGGGAAGCATAGGGCCAGCATGGGCCAGCATCCCAGTGGAACGCTTTCGACACCTTGTAGAGTCCATGCCCTGACGAATTGAGGCTGTTCTGAGGGCAAAAGGGGGTGCAACTCAATATTAGGAAGGTATTCCTAATGTTTTGTACACTCAGTGTATGCCTTTACAGTGGACTGTGAAAAATTCCAGTGTGAGTGCAACACATGATACACCATCACACAACAGCCGGAAAACATACCAGCATGGGCCAAACATATGCTGTATATCTTCACACTGGACTGCTACCATCTTGCAATGTCCTGTACAAGTCCATACAGATGCAATACATACCACTCACAAAAAGACTTACAAGACTCCCCAAAAGGCAGTTCTGTACTGATGTACAGTGCTTTTTCACTGTATATATTCGCCACGGCAGAATCCCTCCCTCTGCTTATATAGATATATCCCATCTCTAAATTGTATATTCCCACTGTAAACTGCCTATACGCCATATTGTATATTATAAACTGGGTGGTTCGAGCCCTGAATGCTGATTGGCTGAAAGCCGTGGAATATCAGACCGTATACCATGGGTATGACAAAAATTTATTTTTACTGCTCTAATTGCGTTGGTAACCAGTTTATAATAGCAATATGCACCTCGGGGGTTTGTGATATATGGCCATTATACCACGGCTAAGGGCTGTGTCCTAGCACTCCGCGTTGCGTCGTGCATAAGAACAGCCCTTAGCCATGGTATATTGGCCATATACAGTGCCGTCGGAAAGTATTCAGACCCCTTGACTTTTTCCACATTTTGTAAGGTTACAGCCTTGTTCTAAAATTGATTTTTTAAATATTTTTTTCCCCTCATCAATCTACACACAATACCCCATATTGACAAAGCAAAAACATGTTTTTATAAATTGTGGGTAATTTATTAAATATAAAAAACATAAATATCACATTTACATAAATATTCAGACGCTTTCCTCAGTACTTTGTTGAAGAACTTTTGGCAGCAATTACATCATCGAGTCTTCTTGGGTATGACGCTACAAGCTTGGCACACCTGCATTTGGGGAGTTTCTCCCATTCTTCTCTGCAGATCCTCTCAAGCTCTGTCAGGTTGAATGGGGAGTGTTGCTGTACAGCTATTTTCAGGTCTCTCCAGAGATGTTCGATCGGTTTCAAGTCCGGGCTCTGACTGGGCCACTCAAGGACATTCAGAGACTTGTCCCGAAGCCACTCCTGCGTTGTCTTGGCTGTGTGCTTAGGGTCGTTGCGCTGTTTGAAGGTGAATTTTCGCCCCAGTCTGAGGTTCTGAGCGTTATGGAGCAGGTTTTCATCAAGGATCTCTCTGTACTTTGCTCCGTTCATCTTTGCCTCGATCCTGACTATTCTCCTAGTCCCTGCCGCTGAAAAACACCCACACAGCATGATGCTGCCATCACCATGCGTCACCGTAGGGATGGTGCCAGGTTTTCTCCAGACGTGACGCTTGGCATTCAGGCCAAAGAGTTGAATCTTGGTTTCATCAGACCAGAGAATCTTGTTTCTCATGGTCTGAGAGTCTTTAGGTGCCTATTGGCAAACTCCAAGCGGGCTGTCATGTGCCTTTTACTGAGGAGTGGCTTCCGTCTGGCCACTCTACCATAAAGGCCTGATTGGTGGAGTGCTGCAGAGACGTTTGTACTTCTGAAGGTTCTCCCATCTTCACAGAGGAACTCTAGAGCGCTCTCAGTGACCATCAGGTTCTTGGTCACCTCCATGACTAAAGCCCTTCTCCCCCGATTGCTCAGTTTGGCCGGGCGGCCAGCTCTAGGAAGAGTCTTGGTGGTTCCAAACTTCTTCCATTTAAGAATGATGGATCTTCAATGCTGCAGAATGTTTTTGGTACCCTTCCCCAGATCTGTGCCTCGACACAATCCTGTCTCTGAACTCTACAGACAATTCCTTCGACCTCATGGCTTGGTTTTTGCTCTGACATGCACTGTCAACTGTGGGACCTTATATAGACAGGTATGTGCCTTTCCAAATCATGTCCAATCAATTGAATTTACCACAGGTGGACTCCAATCAAGTTGTAGAAACATCTCAAGGATGATCAATGGAAACAGGATGCACCTGAGATCAATTTCGAGTCTCATAGCAAAGGGTCTGAATACTTATGTTAATAAGGTATTTCTGTTTTTTATTTTCCATACATTTGCAAAGATTTCTAGAAACCTGTTTTTGCTTTGTCTTTATGGGGTCTTGTGTGTAGGTTGCTGAGGATTTTTATTTATTTAATCAATTTTAGAATAAGGCTGTAACGTAACAAAATGTGGAAAAAGTCAAGGGGTCTGAATACTTTCTGAAGGCACTGTATCACAAACCCTCGAGGTGCCTTATTGCTTAATTCTGCCAGTGGTGGAAAAAGTACCCAATTGTCATACTTAAGTAAAAGTAAAGAAACCTTAATAGAAAATGACTCAGTAAAATACTACTTGAGTAAAAGACTAAAAGTGTTTGGTTTTAAATATACTTAAGTATCAAAAGTAAAAGTATAAATCATTTCACATTCCTTATATTAAGCAAACCAGAGGGGTGCTGTGGTTGCCATGGCACTGTAAGGTAGCCTAGGCAGAGAGCTCTGTAAATGTTGTACATATTCTTTATTATTTGTACGTGGTTTTTCTTTTAATGTATTTTTTGGGGTTTGGCTGCTCTAGGGTTTGATCACTATATCCTGTGGTCTTGACTCAGAGTTGCAGGATCGTGATGAAAAGTCTATCTTTATCTTTTGGCTTGATAGCTAGCTTGCTAGTTGGCTGTTTGGATTGAAATAATGTGGGCTACCTTACTGTTTCATTTGTTTGGAAATATTACATGAAGGACTGCATGCTGTGTCCAGAGGTAGCAAAGGATGTTCATGGACTGTTCAGGGAAGGCTCCTAACCACTGCCAAGATGTGGTGGCTTTTCATGAGCTTTTCAGCAGCCATGGCATCACCCAGGTGGGTGCTACATTCCTGGCAATGGAGGACCAGTACCAGTACCTGTTTTTTCAGACTATCTTTGTTTCTCCTTGGCTGTCCCATCAATGCCCCCTCCACTGAACCTCCACTGCCTTTCCAACCCAAATTGCCTCAACTTCACCCCAAGCAGACTGAGACTTTCAATCTCCATCATTTCAATTTCTTGTTTATTGTTTAACTTTTTATACACTTTGAGATTATTTGTAAAACGCCACACAGGTTAATTATTATTAGATCTGTAACCCAAGTATGCCTAGTTGGCTAGATCTACTGTGTAGCCTGGGCCTACTAGGTTGTTTGTACATTTTTCTGCCATTTATTTAGGACGACCACAATGGAAATACGTTTTCAAACTTTTTTGTGTCATCCTCGATGATTTGAAATGCATTATCCACATGTGTGGTTATGTTGTGTTTTAAATGATCAAATAAATTGAAGTAAAAACAATATTCTTGCTATTTTTATTTACGGATAGCCAGGGGCACACTCCAACACTCAGACATAATTTACAAATGAAGCATTTGTGTTTAGTGAGTCCGCCAGATCAGAGGCTTGAATTTGACAATTTTCCTGTCCTGCTAAGCATTCGAAATGTAATGAGTACTTTTGGATGTCAGGGAAAATGTATGGAGTAAAAAGTATATCTTTTTTTAAATGTAGTGGAGTAAAAGTAAAAGTTATAAATAGTAAAGTACAGATACCCCCAAAAAACTACTTAAGTACGTACTTTACACCACTGTATTCTGCATGATGTCTATGAGGACTTGTGTCTATATTATGTTTGTATATCTATTGCTGGTAGCACCTTCTCACTAAGGCAACTTCCAGGTATGTGTAAATGTACTTTGCGAATAAAGGTGATTCTGATGTCACGCAAACAAGAGATAGATATGGAGAGAATGGGGTGACAAACTGAACACATATGTCTCACTCATGTTCTGGCTCATGCTGTGTTTGCATGCATGCATACCCATGTGATAATGTGTAGCAGCTGTTACTTAGTACCCCCATGGGGACAGGGTTGGTGAGTATGTGTGTGTGTACGTGTGTGTCTCCAGATGTGTGCCAGCCAAGGCTGGCTTTGATGCCCGTTTTGTTTTGGTCAGGGTTCCTTTTCATGAGACCGCAACCCGTGAGTCAGTTCAACAGCAGAGAGACCACTGCCTGGAGGGGAAGTATAACAGAACTACAGCAGCATGATACAGCACAGAGCTACTCAACCGCATCTTCACTGTGCCTATAGCGAAGTTATACACAACACACGTAAACACACACTGACACCAGCATGCAAGTACTGTAAGCTCACACACCTGTACACGTACACATGCACGTACACACGCTTGGTTGGCCTCAGACAGTTGTCCCACATTGGCCTGCACCACAGGATACAAATATTGGCCAGAATTGCTTCAACAATGCTTGGCATGTTTCACAGGCAATAAGAAACACTGTCCAAGACTGTGATTAGTTTAACTTGTGTTCATCACAATAGTACATTGGCTAAGCATTTGGCAGGTTGACTATGTAATAGTGTGTGAATGTGTGAACGTGAGAGAGTGGGAGAAGGAGGGAGAGAGAGACGACAGACTGATTGATTGATTGGCTGACAGATGATTAGCTTGATTTCTGATTGACAGGCAGCTGTGTGAGATGACATGTTTGGTGCAGGAGAGCAGTATAAAAGTAGCCATCTCAGTCCTCTGTCAGTATGTGATAGTTTCTCTCCAAACCAGCTTTACCCTTAGCGCAGCAGACCATACTAAAATGGGTGAGAGTTTGCTAACAGTCCTAAATGCTTTTGGGTGTTCCAGATTGGGTGCCGTTTTGACTTTGTCTTTATACTAGAGAAACGACTGTAGTTTCCTCTTGAGAAAGAAAAGCATTGTATAACTACAATATTTTGCTTGTTGATGTGTTTGTGGCTTATCTGTGATCTTGTGTTGCAGCTGAGAAGATACTGATCGTGTACGCCCACCAGAGTGCTGGGTCGTTTAATGCTGCAGCCAAAGACGCAGCTGTTGAGGTTCTGATCTCTCAGGGCTGTAAAGTGGAAGTGTCTGACCTCTATGCCATGAGGTTCAAAGCCTCTGCTACTGCTGAAGATGTCACTGGTAAGTCAATCATAAGTTGTTTAATTACAGTAGTGAATGGTCATGTTTTTTGTAAACCTGAGTGCCTCTTAACTGCTGTAGTTCACTGAACTATTTTGCAAGTGGTTTTATTTTTTTTAGTGACTGTCCCCATTCTGTCCTGCTTTCCCAGGGGAGGTGAAGGATGCTGAGCACTTCCAGTATGGAGAGGAGACCATGCTGGCATGGAAGGAGGGCCGACTCTCTGCTGACATCACTGAGGAACATCAAAAAACTCTCTGATGCGGAGGTTGTCATATTCCAGGTAAGCTCTCCTGCAGTACTGTTAAGTGTCTTAAGAAACTGGCTTTGGCCTTTTAAATTAATTTTAATAGTGTAGCACCTTCAGCTCTTACAATGACTGCTTTATGTTTTGGATGGTTGAAATGCACCATTCCATGGTTGACTAGTGTCTGCCATTATCTGTCCCAGTTCCCCATGTACTGGTTCACTGTTCCTGCCATCATGAAGGGCTGGATGGACCGGGTCCTCACACTGGGGTTTGCATACACCTCTGAGAAGCGGTACAGCCACGGCATCTTCAAGGTAAGTGAGACAATCCCATATAGTCCCTGTTAAACTTCAAATAGTTAATCCTTTTCTGTGGTCCCTCCATATCATTTACCTGGTTGTTTCCCTGTCTTCCTCCAGGACAAGAAGGCCATGCTGTCCTTCACCACTGGATCCCATGAGTCCACGTTCAGTGCCAATGGCATCAATGGAGACATGAATGTCACCCTGTGGCCACTGCAGGTATGTTGGGCTTGGCTGACACTACCAGCATGTCGACTGCTGTAGCATAATGCACTTTTCCTTTGCTCTGTTATTCCCATTTGACGTCTGCTTTTATTACAAGCTTTTCACTTCCAGATTGGCAAGTGCTCATTTCAATGATGGGAGGATTGCTTCATTTGGACAATACATGTTTTACTATCTACTTGCGCATGTTTGCTAAACCAGTTAATTGTCTTCCCCTGTAGAATGGCATCCTGCACTACTGTGGCTTCCAGGTTCTGGCTCCTCAGATCTTCTGGGCTCCACCCCACATCCCCTCTGAGGCTCGCTGCAGTATGCTAGAGGCATGGCGCACAAGGCTGGAAGGGCTTCTGGGAGAAACTCCGCTCTCCTTCACCCCCTCAGACAGCTTCGATGGTGGGCGGGGCTTCCAGCTTAAAGAGGATATCCAGGAGAAGCATGCAGCCAAAAAGTTCGGCCTGACGGTTGGAACCCACCTGGGCAAGCCCCTACCACCCAACAGCCAGATCAAAGCTGGGGTGTGAAGGATTCTGGGATAGTGTCTTGCTCTTCTGTACCTGGGTAGTTGCTGTAACAACATTTTTCATGATGGCAAATGAATAACTTAAATTGGGTAGCTTGTGATATTTTTAAAAGCTTCTTTACTTCAATCATGAGTAAATTCATGCATCATTTTGGTTTCTTAATGTTGATCCAGATTTGACAACTGTCCAATGGTGTGACTGTTCTCATTAAGGTTGTGAACATAACTAATTAATAAAATTCTCTTGTAGTTCTAACAGTTTATTTCAAGGAACAATAGTCCCAAGTTCATTATATTTACAAATAATTCTGATTTTGTTCACTAATGTCCACTCGGTGTGACACAATTCGGTTTTAAACACTAATGCTTTTGGGCACTATTGCGTAGGGTTCTCTTGCAATGAAGTACCGACGATATTGCTAGAGCACATGGCCTGGTCAAATTGTAAGCTTCATTATAAATATATTTACAGACGTATTGCATTCTTCTTTTGGGGTGACTCCCTTTAAAAAGGGTGGGGGCCTATGAGAAGTGACTTTATTTTTATTGGTATGACCGTGTCGTACCAGAGGAAATGGCTGTCACTCCAGGGGATAGAAGCAAATAACCTAAGGACTTTTACACTTCAAATTGTGTTGGCTGCATACGCACTTAGCAGATATTGTGGGTGTAGTGAAATGGTGTTCCTAGATCCTACAGTAATCTCATACATACTGATGTAAAAATTGAATGAACTTAAACACTTTGCAGTAGCCCTATTTTGTATCCTGTTGTAATTTACAACCTTAAGTGATTGAGTGCAAATTTTACGTTCTCCCACACCTGGTTTTTCACTTTGCATTTGACCATTGCTCTGGCGACCTCTGGGTCGGTCTGCCTTCAGGGGAGGGTCTTGTTCTTTAACCTGGCCCTAGTGATGGTGCAGGCAGATCATGGACTTGCTGTGGCGCTCCCATTCCTGGTTCTTACTCCCTGTGTTAGACCATCCATCCACTTGGTCCCTCTGTCCTACCAGTTTCACGCCTGACAGATTGGCATACGTAATTTACATTTTAGTCATTTAGCAGACGCTCTTATCCAGAGCGACTTACAGTTGGTGATCCAGCCTGAGAGGGGATATCAGTGGTGCCTCTTTTGGAGACTGTTCCCCCTCTCCAATACGCCCCGGCCTGCCTCAATCCGGACAAGACCCAGTCGACCCATCTGTTTCAGTGGTTCTCCAATAGCATTCAGGCATGGGGCACGCCTTACCCAATTCATAGGCGCTAACTGCTTTAGCGCCTATTGACGATAGTATGTTGTGACTGGGGGAGTTTTGTTAAGAGACCCGATTCTTGCTGTACTACTTTGGAAACATAAGGAATCTTTCATATCAGCGAATTTTTTTTATCTAAAAACAAAAGGTTACATTTCTACACACCTTTATACAGTTAGGGTTAGTGTTCCCACATGGTAATACAGTGCTATGAAAAAGTATTTGCCCCCTTTCTAATTTTCTCTACTTTTGCATATTTGTGATACTGAATGTTATCAGATCTTCAACCAAAACCTAATATTAGATAAAGGGAACATAAGTAAACAAATAACACAACAATTACATATTTATTTCATAAACAAAGTTATGCAACACCCAATTCCCCTGTGTGAAAAAGTAATTGCCCCCTTACACTCAATAACTGGTTGTGCCACCTTTGGCTGCAATGACTCCAACCAAATGCTTCCTGTAGTTGTTGATCAGTCTCTCACGTCGCTGTGGAGGAATTTTGGCCCACTCTTCCATGCAGAACTGCTTTAACTCAGTGACGTGTGGGTTTTCAAGCATGAACTGCTCATTTCAAGTCCTGCCACAACATCTCAATTGGGATTAGGTCTGGACTTTGACTAGGCCATTCCAAAACTTCCAATTTGTTGCTTTTTAGCTATTTTCATGTAGACTTGATTGTGTGTTTTGGATCATTGTCTTGCTGCATGACCCAGCTGCGCTTCAGCTTCAGCTCACAGACGGATGGTCTGACATTCTCCTGTAGAATTCTCTGATACAGAGCAGAATTCATGGTTCCTTCTATTAAGGCAAGTTGTCCAGGTCCTGAGGCAGCAAAGCATCCCCAAACCATCACACCACCACCACCATGCTTGATCTTTGGTATGATGTTCTTACTGTGGAATGCAGTGTTTGGTTACAGATCTGATAAGATTCAGTATCACAAATATGCAAAAATAGAGAAAATTAGAAAGGGGGCAAATACTTGTTCATAGCACTGTATCTCCATGTTACAGCGCTTGTTTATGGAAAACAGATGGAAGACAGAATCGACCACCAGTGCTAATTAGCTATGTAGTGTGCTACAAACATCTGTGTGTAAGCATGTCTCGGAAAATGTAGTTTCATCTGATGGATCTGTGCAAAACTCCTACAGTAAGTCTCTTTTTCTTTCTCGCTGATGAAAGATAAGGGCCATATGTTTCAAAAGCCGTATCGCAAGTGATGATCATTGAAGTTTATAAACATTAAAACACAGCGTCGGGATTGTAGTTCACCTGAGCCAGTTGCGCCATCGTGCGCCATCGTGCGCATGTTGATTTTGTCTATCTCCACCAGACGCATTCATCACATGCAGATTAAAATACCAAAAAGAACTGTGAAACAAATATATTAATTTGGGGACAGGTTGAAACACACATGAAACATTCATGGACATTTAGCTAGCTTGCTGTTATCTTATTTATCCTGGGAGATAAACACTGGATTGTTATTTTATCTGAAGTGCATATGGTCCTTTTTTTGCTGGATCTTTGTAAAATGTGGACCCATTTTTGAGTCATACAAAATCGTGTGTTCTCTACTCCGACAATTAATCCACAGATAAAAGGGGAAACCTAGTTCGTTTTTAGTTTTCTTTCATCTTTCAGTCATCCAAGTGGGTTAGTATGCTCGTGAAAACCAATTAAGTAGATAGGAGAGTAGATGGGAGAGTTCTGTTTTAGCACCTGGCTATTCAGATGCCCGTGAGCAGTTTGGATGAAGTTATTGAATAACATGTACAGTACCAGTCAAAAGTTTGGACACACCTACTCATTCAAGGGTTTTTCTTTATTTTTACTATTTTATACATTGTAGAATAACACATATGGAATCATGTAGTAACCAAAAAAGTGTTAAACAAATCTAAATATATTTGAGATTATTCAAATAGCCACCCTTTGCCTTGATGACAGCTTTGCACACTCTTGGCATTATCTCAACCAGCTTCACCTGGAATGTTTTTCCAACTGTCTTGAAGGAGTTCCCACATATGGTGAGCACTTGATGGCTGCTTTCCCTTCACTCTGCCGTCCGACTCATCCCAAACCATCTCAATTGGGTTGAGGGATTGTGGAGGCAAGGTCATCTGATGCAGCACTCCAACACACTTACACAGCCTGGAAGTGTGTTGGGTCATTGTCCTGTTGAAAAACAAATTATAGTCCCAAACCAGATGGGATGGCGTATCGCTGCAGGATGCTGTGGTAGACATGCTGGTTAAGTGTGCCTTGAATTCTAAATAAATCACAGACAGCAAATCACCCCCACACCTTAACATTTTAACATTTTAGTCATTTAGCAGACACTCTTATCCAGAGCAACTTACAGTTAGCATACATTATTTCTTTTATTTTTACATACTGGCACCCTGTGGGAATCGAACCCACAACCCTGGCATTGCAAACGTCATGCTCTACCAACTGAGCTACATCCCTGCTGGCTATTCCCTCCCTTACACTGGACCAATTGTGTGCTGCCCCATGGGTCTCCCGGTTGCAGCCGGCTACGACAGAGCCTGGATTCGAACCAGGATCTCTAGTGGCACATGTGCTGCGCCACACCTCCTCCTCCATGCTTTACAGTGGGAAATACACATGCGGAGATAATCCGTTCACCCACACCGCGTCTCACAAAGACACGGCGGTTGGAACCAAAAATCCCCAATTAGGACAAATTCTCATCGGTCTAATGTCCATTACTCGTGTTTCTTGACCCAAGCAGGTCTCTTCTTCTTACTGGTGTCCTTTAGTAGTGGTTTCTTTGCAGCAATTCGACCATGAAGGCCTGATTCACACAGTCCCCTCTTAACAGTTGATGTTGAGATGTGTCTGTGACTTTAACTCGGCAGGTAACTTAGTGGTTAAGAGCGTTGTGCCAGTAACCGAAAGGTCGCTGGTTCTAATCCCAGAGCTGACTAGGTGAAAAATCTGCCGCTGGTGCCCTTGAGCAAGGCACTTAACCATAATTGCTCTGGATAAGAGCGTCTGCTAAATGACAAAAAAATAAAAAAATAAACTCTGTGAAGCATTTATTTGGGCTGCAATTTCTGAGGCTGGTGACTTATCCTCATAAGAGCCAGTTTCATCATAGTGCTTGATGGTTTTTGCGACTGTACTTGAAGAAACTTTCAAAGTTCTTGAAATGTTCCAGATTGACTGAGGTTCATGTCTTAAAGTAATGATGGACTGTCGTTTCGCTTTGCTTATTTGAGCTGTTCTTGCCATAATATGGACTTGGTCTTTTACCAAATAGGGCTATCTTCTGTATACCCCCCCTACCTTGTCACAACACAACTGATTGGCTCAAACACATTAAGAAGGAAAGAAATTCCACAAATGAACTTTTAAGAAGGCACACCTGTTAATCGAAATGCATTCCAGGTGACTACCTCATGAAGCTGGTTGAGAAAATGCCAAGAGTGTGAAAAGCTGTCATTAAGACAAAGGGTGGCTATTTGAAGAATCTCAAATATAAAATATATTTTGATTTGTTTGACACCTTTTTGGTTACTACATGATTCCATATGTGTTATTTCATAGTTTTGATGCCTTCACTATTGTTCTACAATGTAAAAAATTGTTAAAATAAAGAAAAAACCATTGAATGAGTAGGTGTGTCCAACCTTTTGACTGGTAGTGTATGTGTGCATTTATTTTGCGCATGCATGCAATGTGGCCGGTCTAGTCAGCATGTAAGAA